GCAATGCAACAATTACAACATATTTTAATATTTTAWAAATCTTATTTGGATTAAATAGATAGTAGACAAAAGAAGCTTAATTTTTTTTTAAGGAATTACGAAATGCGTTTACCCCGCAAATTTTTTATAAGTTTAATATTATCCCTTCTATAATCTAGATTATGTTGATTAATAACAGGAAAAAAAATTTCATATTTCCTCTTAATTTATTATAATTCTAAAAATAACAATATGTTTAAAAAGTTATGATCTGTTATTTTTTCTTAATATTAAAAAATATTCTTCCCGTACTGAACTATACACAGATTCTCTCCTATTTTAATTTTTATCATAGTTTTTATCACGTTTTTTTCAGATAAGTGTGTCTACCGCAGGGTTGGAATACAATAATTATAATTATGAAACCGCATTTTTTACCTCATATTTTCTGGACAACACCTGTTGATTAAAATCAAATTAGTTTCAAAAGTATACATTTAATAATTACTTAATTAATCGTTATTTTTCAAAGTTTTTTCACGATTTATTATGTATTATAGTTGAATTAAATTTTAAATTGGTTTTTATTTGTTATATTGATGTAATATTGTTAAAAATAATAATATTTTGTCACTTACTTTAATAACTTTTTAATTAACGTCCTCTTGTGTTTTTTTTTTTCAAAAGATTTCTGTTATACAGTATACCATTTTTTAAATACGTTTGTTTGTTATATAYACCTACTCCTAAATATTTACGAGTATTTATTATACCTATAAAGTAACTACCTACCGATTTTAATTTCTTAATGATACTGTGAAATGTGTTATATTTAAGTGAATTGTAATTTAGTTACCTGTATATTAGTAAGTGTAAAATCAAAACGTAAGTCTACTTTAGAGTACCAATGAATGATAAAAACATAACTAAAACAAACAAAACTAAATAAAATGGATTTTAAGTATTATTTTAAAATTCAAAGAAATTAATTAATTGAAATATTTACAGCTGCTTTTAATATAAATATATATGATATACTTAATTGTACATGATGGTATAACATTAAGTTGTCATTTATTTAACTATTTTAACGTGATTATAAAAATAGAGAATAAATCATTGAGCTGTTAYATAATATTATATAGATTTTACGTTTATTCGCACATAATAATACATTTAAATGATTACTGTATAATGTAGGTACTTATCTCTAGCAAAAAAATTTCGAAACAATGTTTGATTTTGTGGTGCTATGATATAATCAACATGTAATTTACATATTATAGTAATTTCTTGATTGTGTGATATTTTGGCAATAATAGATACCTACTTACTACTCGAAATAAAGTATTTTTGATTCAAAATAATAAAGTATAATATTTAAATTCGAATAAAACAAAATTTAAAAAACCGTGTGTTACATGATAAATAATAAAGTAAGCTCA